TTATTATTAATTTTTGAGTGTTTTTTGGGATCAAAACAGTTTAGGAATGATTTCAATCTCCGGCGGTCTATCTATCTTACCAAGACAAGAACAAAAAACTTTGAGACTTTTGAAAACAAAAAAAATGCATCAAGTAGATTGACTCTATACTTTCCACTCCCGAACTCCAATTTACCATGTAGTGCAATGACATCAAGAGGGCGTAGGTTTTGTCAGAACCAGTAATGCATTACATATTTAGGCGTTTCATGAAAAAGGTTTCTTCAGATTCCAGTAATAATAATAATGGCTTCATTACCCAACGGTTTCCCATTTACAGGAACAATTAACTTACATGCCCTTATTGTTATTATGTGTCAATAAAATAATATAATGTAACAAATAAAGGAATAATTATGATATATTATAATAGTACCCTAAACTGAGATGCAGATAATTAAACCAATAACAAGAATTTAAAATTAGTTCCATAACATCTTTGCTGTTGTTCTGATAAACTCATTCAGTGTACAGGAAAATATATCAGAACGGCTGAAGATACAGTTTAATTTTTCACACATAACATAGACTGGAGACTTAAATAATATATTGGTCTTAGCTCTAGGTATCTTAAATGTCACAGTATGCCGAGATGAGTATGGAGGCATAGCAAGAGCAACTTGCCCCAGAACATCAGAACAATCAACATATCCATGCAGCAATTTAAATAAAAGCAACGCCGCCGTAAAGTGTCTTCTATGCTCTAAACTAGGTAGTTCAAATCTACTACATAGTTCATAATTATTGATTCCCCTTTCATAATAAATGCCGTCAACTTTAAAGGCCAGAAATTTAAGACATTATCGCTGAAGTCGTTCAACACAAAATTTATACACCTCATAATGATTTCATATGCTGGCGTATTCAAGTTTCGACCTAGTGTAAGTGAAGTAAAGTATTTTGATAGTGCTGATATTGTCAAAACTTCTACAATTCCTTGTCAAATGCTTCAGATACAGTTTTCTCAATATGTTTAGAAAGTAGCACCTAAATCCCTAACCTCTGTACACCTAATCAGGTTATTTCCATCAATATTATACTTAAAATTTGTGAATTCTCTCTTTCTTGTGAAACTCACTACCTTACACTTATCTAAATTTAGTGATAATTTATTATCGTTACACCCGTTCTGGATCAGGTCAAGCTGGCTCCGAAGTTCAGTGACGTTAGACACTGTGCGATATAATTTTGAATCATCAGCAAGTTTTTCTACTGTTAAAGCATCCAATAAATCATTTATAAAGATTAGAAAAAGTAAAGGTCCCAAGTTTGAAACTTGTGGAACTCCAGATATAGCTCCAATGGCTTCCGATCTATGTACACCCATTATACTTATTAGCAATGAGCGTATCCGTACACGAGAGCCTCATCTCTTCGGAACCCTAGTTTGAAACTGCCTGTCAACAATATTTGATAACTTATCATAGTAGCTCTTAATAAATACTTATATTACGTTACGGAATCAAATCACATTGAATTACACTCCAAGCAAAACGCATAAATACATAACATTGCGCCCACCTCGTAAGTCGCCGTGCTGCTGTGTGAAATATATCTAATTGGCTCGTAGAGTTACCGTGGTTGAGAGTGTATCAATATACTAAAAAATTTCTATACACCCTGCCCCACCACTCTCTACATATCCCTACCACCCATCTTTTTACCTCTAACAAATTTTTGATAAGTGTTCAGGATCCCCCCGAATCGTCAAAAAACGAATTTTGAGCATTTTATTTTTCGTTTTTGGCATTTTCCTCCGCCACTACTGGACTAACGCTTTTTCGTTCTTGGCGGAGCAGCATCGTTGTGTGAAAATTTCATCCAAATCCGAGCAGTACTTTCCAAGTTATAGGCGATCCAAAGGTTAGCCGATAGACCGACAAACAGACAGACCGATAGAACGGAATGAGCGACATGGTTTTTCCTGATGTACACGTCATATGACATCCAAAAAAAAAGGTAAAATCTCGATTACGAATTTTTCACGATTACAATACTCCTTCCGCCAGAAGTAAAAGAAAGACTTGTTCCCAGAAACTTGTTTTTTATGTTTATCGAGTTTTTGCTCATATCTGGCTAATTTTTGGGGCTAACAAAGCTTTTTAAAAAAATAAAAAATTTATTTTAGACCTTTCCCAACTTACTTGTAGCTGTAAGCATTACGGCATCGTTTTTTAACAAGTTCTAATATGTTCACATCATGCGTCTTACGTTTCATCATCATTAATAACGCCTAGAATGCTTGTGTAGTTAGAACGTTTTATTCCTACGGTGAACGCTGATTGAGGCGAAGGGAATCTAAGAGAAAACAAGCGAAGGAAAGTGACGTGTCACGTTTGCAAATGACAAATGCAGCTGTTACGTTCGTTTTGTTTTTTTTTCATCAATGTTTCTGCACATTGAAAAGTACATACTTAGTCTGCGCAAGAATCAGGAACATTTAAAAGTAGACTCAATACTTATAGTACCATCAGTGCTTAATAAAAGTGTCTGAACACAAAAGCTGGACATTTTCGAATGTATCCCTCTGCAGATATGAAAAGATTGACCATTGATGCAACAATTTGTTGTTATATTTATTTTATGGTGTTGGCTCATACACAATTACATTTTTTCTTTAGGTCAATGAACAAAAAATGCAATCAATTAGGGAGATTTATATTCGTTATTGGTGCAGATCACTGCACGGCAAAAAAATTGAAGGATCATTGCATATGTGTTTGAAAAGCAAAAGGCGTAACAACGGGGATATGATCTGTAGTGAATGATTAAATTATAACATCAAGAACAGCTGGGTGCTGCATCGCGATAATGCTCCTTGTAACATAGCAATGTCAATAAACGAGTTTTTGGCCTGTAAAAACATTAGCCTCCTTATTCGCCTAACATGAGCCCTTGTTCCCGAAATTGAAAAATCGCCTCAGGGGAACTCATTTTGGAACATTCGAAAACATTCAAACGGCAGTAAACGATCTGCTGAAGGTTATTCCTGTATTGAAGTTGCAGCACTGCTATGAGGAGTGGAAGAACCGTCTCCAGCGCTGTGTGGCTTCAGAGGAAGATATTTTAAGGGTAACAATATAAAATTATAATTATTCGAAAATCAATCCTAAACAGATTCGACACAGTTCACAATTCAAAAATGTGTATGCTCAAAATAAAAGCATTATTTGTGCGTAAAGAATAAACTAACGTATAATATGCATTAATTCACGGAACTGGTGTAACGTATTTCTGCCGCGTCAGCGTTGCTAGGCAACGCGGTGATGAACTTCGCTAGCCAAACGACTTCTAGTCTTCTAACATGTGTGTCTATACACACTTCTCTCTCGTACACATTGTAGTTGGGTATGATCGGTGAGTTACAGTATGATTTCTGTCCACTTCAATTTGGTAGCTTCCACTAGCAAAGAAACGCAATCCAGACAGTATTTTTAAAAATAATGTATACTACATTAACTAGTGCATGGTTAGCTTGGTTTGTTGATATTATAATAGGTGGTTGGAGAATTATAATAAAAGCATCAGTATTTCATTACTATTATTAGGATGGTTATGTGTTTGTTAATGTTATAGTAGATGGTTGGAGAATCATTTATTTTATATTGAAAGCACCAGTGTTTCATTACTAATATGCCTATTTTTTGCAATAACATGTGTACTATTATTACTCTTTCGTGATAAGTCACGTGCGGTCTATAAGGCTCTGGAAAAAGTAGAATCATTTTTTCCAAATTTTGCATATTCTGTTTTCTTAAGCAGTATAGTTTTACAATTTGTTTACAATCTCCGAGAATTCAAAAGGAGCATCGGTCTCGAATCTTTAACTTTCCAAGTTTCCAATATTTCTGATCAAATTCACGCCAGTAAACTGGTATGACACTAGATACTGGAAATTAATTCGAAAGCTATCACAACATCGTTTCAATAACACCCAACACCATAAATAGAAATAAAAACACAGAAAGTGCAAAACACCAACCACTTAATAGCCGTTTTGAAGTCGACAAGCGATTTTCAAAATCGCAAATCCTGAGACAAACGGAAAAACCGAACAAATGGAAAGCAAGTGCAAATAACGTTATATTGCTTCCTCAACAAACGGTTTCAGACCTTACCTGTTCTATTAGTCTTAAGCAGCTTAAAAACCGGAACAACGAGATATCTTGAAGTTGCTTCTGGCAGTCGCGATAAAGTTACCTGAAGTGTATTCGAATCTCATTTACTCCCCGTGAAAAAAAAACATCAGTGCGCGATGTTTAATTTCGGGCGCTTCTATAGGCTAGCCGACCATAAATGCTTGGACAGGTAGCGACAAGCGAATAGAAGTAGCGATCGGGTTCTCATGTTTGATCTAACGAGAAGTAAATGAAATTTGAATAGGGTAAAGCGTAGGAATCACCTAAATTCCTAGATCAAGAAGACGGTTTATACAAAATGGTCAGAATAGTCAGTCACACAGTCCAAAGAACTAAAGGCAAAGTCGTGATCAAGGTGCGTTTAGATCAGAACAAATATGTCGTAATTTTCACTGTGCATATTTCAGTGTGCAACATGTAGCACGTATTCCAGACGTTTTGATAGTCTGCAACATGTTGCGGAACAAATGCCAGACCAGATGCGTTTCCAGGCAAATGATGCATAACATGATTGATTAACGTATTCTACCTAAAGATAGCCAACCTAATACTATATTCCTTCGTCCAAAAAATGATCCAAGATGAAGCGTCATCTATTAGAATTTCTGTTTACTATATATGTATACTCATCTGTCGCATAGATGGCGCTGTAGCCACCTGTTTGCTTGTATATGCTTATATTCTCAGATTTTCGTAGATGACGTAAAAATATCTCATTTTATCTCGGATAATTTTTGGACGCCAGAATATAGCATTTGGTTACCTATCAATGGTAACATGTAATTAGCTACCCGGCACTGTCTTTATACACAACAGGCGGGCCTCGTATGACTGCAAGATCACCTTGGTGGGAGCCATGAGCGCGTTTTGTGGGAGGTAGCGCGGCAATCGAGTGGTCAAACAAATCTCGCAGCTCAGAAAGGTGCGCATCAGAATAGTCAAACCACATCAAGTGTTCCGTGATCGCGAGAGCGGGAAACGCTATCTGCTATCTGGATTATTTGATTTTTTGTATAAATTCCGTGCTAGAATCCGACGTGCGATCATGGAGAGGATTTTTGGAATTCTATTCGTCCTTATAGCAGCAACGGAAAAAGGTAAGATTTTGGTGGATTTGACATTGCTTAGGAAATAGCTCAGATTATTTATGAAGGTCTGAAAATCATCAACTTTGAAAATTAATTGGACCTTTTTTAAGAAGTCTGAATTCATAATAAGTAATTCATGCTCGCTACTTCTCATGGATCAACGTTGGGACTACGAAAATCTTTCACAAAAAATACCAGGACGTACCAAAAACACGAGCTATTGTACACTCCCAAAAATATTTTGGCATACTTGAAAATGTAAATGATCAAAATGAAGAATTTTTACTTCCAAAAGATCCAACTTTCTATACTGATCAAAATATTGAAAAAATAGGGTTTTTTGATGAAAGACCTACTGACGATCGCCTGATAGAGCTCACAAAATACATTGAAATTTTGATTTCGAATATTTTCGCAGAGAAGTACCCCTTTGCTTACACGCAGGCACAAGATTCCAAATAAACTGGGGCTAAAGTTTTTATTTTGACTTTAAATGCTTTTTATTGTTATTATTTAACAAAATAGTAATTCTTGATCTTGATGTTTGTACTGAAGAATTTAAAAGAGAAGACTCAAGGTTTCGTTCAAGAGTATTTTTATTAAGCTAAAAAATGTCGAAATAGGTATTCCGAATTTTTCTAGTATCAGTAAGTTTTTTGAATGCAGCTACTTTGAATATTGTTCTATTTTTCTACTTTTCTTAGCACCTCGATGATGCTTTGGAATATAATTGTATTATTAGGTTTCTTAGAACGTTGAAATATGAAATTGAAGAAATAGCAGGAAGTACTAAGATAATCTACATGACCCATTTATTTATATTTTTGCTCTTAAAATTATTGTGATTAAATTTCAAAATATAATAGTTTGCAATAAACTAGAAATTAAGAAATTGTATATTTTGTTTTCATGCAAAGTATTTCTGTTGAGAAAGGTGCTAGTCAGTTTGTTTATATACAATACAGATATTCATGGAAGGCATGAAACTGGTTGTACTTGAACTATAGAATAAATAAAGATATTTCTTGTGGCATTATTCCCTTGAGAAATAGAAATAAAAAACATACCCAGCAAATCCAGCTTGTATGTTAGGTATTCGTACAATTTCTATGAACATAACAAGCCAAGTAATGATGGTAGCGAAGGTCTCCGAAATAAAAACGGAAAATACTTCCTAAGTAGTATTTGTTGCGCATTAGTATAATACTATAATTCGTTGATCGCATGGTTTCGCCTAGGTTTCAAAAAATTTCAGCGTTCTTTTTACGGATCGATTGGTTGCAACACCTTTGTTTTGATTCCGTTTGCAAAACAAATCGACACACTGTATGATATGAGGAAGAATTAATGTTAAATTAATAGCTAATAATTTTGATGATTCAGAGAGAAAAAAACACTGTGATTAGAATGACACACGTAGTTAACGTGTACTTTGTGTGACGCAGAACCTCAGTAAAGTTTATAACTACTTCCAAGCTCCAAAGGTGGAATATCATCTAACAAATTAATAACGCGTTATACCATATGAGTCTGCCAAGCCTTACGATAATATTTTAGCACTATTAATAAAGTTAATTTGGTCTGATTCAATAAATATCGTTAAAATAGATCAAAGCATCCCTCTTGAAACAATCATATTTAGATTATTGATTATTTAGTGGTATTTTTTAGAAACAATTCAGCTTAGAAATGTGAAGAGAAAAATCAATACCGGAAGAAACGGATTTGTTATCAATATTTTGCATCTGTTCATCGAATAATTCCTAATACTGAAGATCTCACTTGATTTGATGCCAGTATTTGAATACTTTTAACTCGGAATTTTGAAACCATTCAAATCAGATCCTCTCTCAAAAGCTAACATAATGTTTGTCCCCTTGTTAATTCATGGGCGTTAAAGAACGTTATCTTCATAACTACGTGGGCTACTTCTATGCATTGTGACCAAGGTATCATTTCTTTTATTGTCTCGGCACACACGTGCTTCTGACCTTTAATAAACGTGACGTCACTTTCCGGTTATAAGTACAATCTTACATCATTCCAGTCATTCACTATTTATGACCTTAAATTTTGTTTTATATTCAAAATTTACGACTTGTCCGTTGCTGAGATGATTTCATTACAACCTTTTAAATACATTCCTAGAATAAGTCATAAGTTTTACTCACATTTTTCACAGCATCATTTACATGTCCGTATTTTTTATTTCTATAAAGGTTATCAAAGTTTAGAATTGGAGATTGGAGATTGCAAGAAACGACATCTAGGTGGTGGAACAAGAAGACAAATTTCAAATTCATCCACACAATTACTTGAGTTAGACTTGTTTTGGCATGACAGAAATTTGTAAGGGTATGAATTGGTTTAAGCTTCAGTTATCACGCTTGTGTAAATAGATTTCCACGTGATACTTGCCTCTAATTGTTCGAGACAATAATCCAACGTTCGTTTGCCTTACTCCATTCCAAAGTGTCCGACTCTTCCATCAATTTGCCTGGATACTATTTATACAGAATGGATTCACCACGCACTCCTGGTTTTGGTGGAGTATGCATTTATGTTCGCACGGAAATCGCGTCGGCTTTCTCGGTATCTCCCTCTTTCAGTCCTTTCGATGGCATTGACTATCTATTTTTGGAATTGAGGTGCCCAAATTTCAGCTTCACGATGGGCTGCATATATCGGCCACGGCCCTGTTTGGGAGACACACACCTGTGCAGTCTCATTTCAGATCTCTTAAATAAAAACACCAACCTTTTCATAGCTGGTGACTTCTATCTACGTGACATTAGCTGGCCTATGTCAACCATTCCTGAATGCAATTCTTCTTCTGCTGCTTACATCGACTTGCTACGCAACTCTAGTATATCTCAACATGTTGATCGTCCAGCGAGATTCAGGGAAGGTCACACGCCTAGGGCTCTGGATTTGATATTTGTTAACGATGCCGACTTTGTTTCTAATTTAGATTATTTGCCACCTTTTGGCAAGTCTGACCACTGTTCACTTTTATCTTCTCTCCAGTTCAATATAAATAGTCGTTCTACAACCGATAAGTTTAAAACCATCAAAATTGTAAACCACGATGCTCTTAACCAAGCCCTGTCTGAAGTCAACTGGCCTGCTTTGCTTAACAACCGTAGCACCCAAGATATGTGGGACACTTTCGCTCAACGAGTCCTGAGCGAAACGGCTGACAATACTGTTGAAAAGAAGGTATACTGTGACTCCTCAAAGCCCTGGATCAACTCTAACATATCGAGGATGCTTCGTCACAAGAGATCTTTGTGGCAACGGTTTAGGAGGAGTGGCCATTCACAAGATTACGTGTCTCATCGATCCTTTTCTAACCTCCTATCTAGAACGTTACATAATGCCAAACATGCTTATGAACGAAAACTCGTTACCTCCAAAAATAAGAAGAAGCTGTTTCGGTATCTAAGAAGAAACCTGAATTCCAAAGTTTCATCACCTCAGATCCGCGACGCTAACGGTCATCTCCACATGGATGCCACCGAATCTGCCAACTTACTGGCAGAGTCCTTTAGTGATGACTTCGTCGATGAGCCTAATGGAGACCTTCTACCGACCACTATCTGTCATAGGTGTCCCAACAGCCTTTGCGAAGTTGAGTTCCTGCCTGAAGATGTATTAATGCACCTGCGAAATCTGAAGACCTCTTCCTCCCCTGGTAAAGATGGGATGACGGCTGCTGTACTTAAAAACTGCGCTTCAGCACTGGCCCTACCATTGAGCTTGATATTCACATCGTCTTTTAGATCTCATACCCTACCCTCATGCTGGCTTAGTACTTCTGTTACCCCTGTATTCAAAAAGGGCGACAAATCCTCCGCTAAAAATTATCGACCAATGAGTCTCGTTCCTATCGCCGCCAAAATAGCTGAAAGAATCATATTAGATAAGCTCCTGTCATTTGCTTTCGAAAATGACCTTATCCCTAAGAATCAGCATGGATTTCTCCCTGGTCGATCAATAATGATCTACCTTCTCCACTCTCTCAACGATTGGACTCAGTATCTGGACACAAAGACTCCTGTTGATATAATCTACTTAGATTTTTCTAGGGCTTTCTATCGCGTACCACATAGAAGGCTTCTGTTTTAGTTGGAATGTATGGGAATAAGAGGCGAGTTGTTACTGTGGATTAAGGCTTTTCTCACCGGGAGGACTTTCTCTGTGCGCGTCAGTGATAGCCAGTCTCACCTTCATCATGTAGCAAGTGGAGTTCCTCACAAGGCTCTGTCTTGGGGCCAGTGCTGTTCCTTCTGTATACAAGTGACCTGCCCGCATTGATTTCCTCCACATGTTCAGCTTATGCCGACGACACCAAGATTTACAATACTGTCGTAAATTCTGCTAGGCTTCAACGAGATCTTGATATTGTTTGTCAATGGTCAGTCAGTTGGCTTTTACCCTTAAATCTAACTAAGTGTTGTATCCTTCACCTCGGGAAGACAAATCCGCGATTTACATACAATATCTCTGACCACAACATCGAAGCAGTTTCCAGCCACACTGATCTGGGCGTTGTATTCAACGATCGTCTTTCCTGGTCAGAGCATATTCACCACGTTACATCAAAAGCCAAGAAACTTCTATACATGCTGGAGAGGTCTTTCAAAGGATCCGATGTCAACACTTGCGCCTACACTTACAAGGCATTCGTGAGGCCAATTCTTGAATTCGCTGGCCCGGTATGGGACACTGTGCTTCTGCGCGATAGAAATCTCGTCGAATCAGTACAGCGTCGGGCTACTCGTATCCCTTTTGGAGCACGAAGACCAAGCTATGAAGATCGCCTTGAATTATTCAACCTGACCTTATTCTCTGAGCGAAGACTTCGTGGCGATCTTATAGTTACGTTCAGGATACTTCATGGTTTGATGGGCCCAACCTCATGCATCTATACCGTCTGTCGCGCAGCAATCTACGCGGACACAGCTTCAAACTGCATAAGGAGCCATTTAAAACAACAGTCCGGCAGT